ACACAATAGTGACACATGGTATACATCTATAACATCTAAGCAGAAGCCTTGGCCTTCTTTCCCCTCCTCGGTCTAGCACCGCGAGAGCTCTGTTCCTCGTCAACCTCCTCCTCACCGTCGTCGTCCACAAAGTCATCTTCTTCCGCAGCCACCGTCTTGGCCCTCGACTTTCTCTTCCCTGTGGTCTGGGCCGGTGCAGCAGGCGCCTCAGCCGCAGCCTCGCCATTCATATTGGCCCTTAACCTACTGACAGCGTTCGCCATCCTCTTGCTCGTCGTAGTCTTCTGTCTCGGCGCGAAGGCATCTCTCGCGCCCACGCCCACAGATCCCTCGAAATACCGCGTGATGTTCGCCTGCGTACCCTCCATGTCGCGTTTATTCATGTCCCGAATGACAGGGACGAGAACCTCGTCGGTGCGCTCTTTGCTCCATCCAATGGTCGCCATCAAGAATTGTCTGAGGCCCTCAAGATCTGGAACGCCCCATTGGAACTGCTCCGGGCTGCTATCAACCTCTGGGCGGAGATAGGCGTCGGTCACGGCAGGGTTGGGGAAGCCCGTCGGCAGGAATAGTTTCGTCGCCTGTGACTTGCGGAATTTTCGACGGAAGGGATTAGTTGCGTCCGCTTCTTTGGGGCGGCTGTTCATCTGCACCTCTTGCCACCAGTCCCGGAACTTGGCCAGCCCGTCCTTTCCGGGAAACTCGGACAGAATCTCCACTGCCGTGACCGGGCCGACACCCGGCAGTCCTTCCGTGTAATCAGATCCAAGAAGCTGGGCGATGGCAATCAACTGGTCCCGCGATAGCGAAAGCTCCTTCTCCAAGTCAGAGCCAAGGTAGCACTCGACGAACTTGTTGCTGTTGAACATGTTCTTGTACACGCGGGTGCCCCCAAAGAGAAAGGTATCGGAATCGTCGGTGACAATACCATCGACGAGACCGAGGTGCACGAGTTCCGCGCACTGCGCTTCGGCCTCCATCGGCGCTGTGATGTACGGAATACCGAACAGGCGGAGAAGGGCCTGGCATTCGGTGACCATGACCTGAGTAACCTCGTCTGCGTCACGGCGGTCCTTCTTCTGCTGTGTGCGGAGAGCCTTGAGCTCCCTTTCGTATGCTTCCCTGTTCTCAAGTTCGGACTTGTTGTTGAGCTCGCTGGCGAAACGAGCGTGCTCTTCGGCTTCCTGAGCCAGGTTGGCGTAGAGTTCTTCATCCTCGGGGTCACTGAACTCGTCGTCGCTGTTAGCGAAGACATCCGCTTCAATGTCCTGCACAGGGTCGCCGGCAGTGTTAGGGTCATCCAACGTAGGGCCGTCCATTAGTTCCTCAAAAGTAAGTTCGATCTCCTCGGCAGGCTTTGGCTCTTCTACGGCCGTCGTGACGTCTTCCATCTCTGGCTCCGGGGAGTCTGAAAGTTCTCTGACGGTGACTTGGATGTCCTCGTCGGCGTCATCCACCTGGACATCCTCAAAGTCAGGCTCGGGTGATAGTGAAGGCTTCGGAGACGGCGCAGCAACCTTGCTGGTGGTGAGCGCTGGTTGTGCCATATCTTCTGGCAACGCAGCTGTTTCGGCAACAGGGCTCTTTGTTGTGGCGTCCCCAGCTGGAGACAGTACCTCTGGAGCCGCGGTCTGCTTGAGGGTTGGAGGAGCATCGAGAATCTCAACATCACTATCCTCGCTGTCAGAGGACTGAATCTCGATAAGCTGGTTCTGTCGCTGGCGTTCAAAGCGGCGCTCTTCTTCCAGCGCTGCATCTCTATCTTCGGTATTGATATCCCTCTCAACCTGTCGCTGTTGTTTGATGGATTCACGAATGTCTGAGTCATCGACCATCCAGGGTGGCAGCGGCCTAGGCCCCTCTTCCTGCGGTTCTCTTTGGAAATCGCCTTCGTCATCGTCGTCCACGTGCTCGTCATCAGCAGCCTCAATGATGAAACCGCCGCCAAGGTCTGCGTTCTCAATCTCCTGACTTGGTTTCTTCAAATTCAGCGGAACCTGCGTAGTCGGAGCTGGCTCCGCTGGCTTTTTCGCTGGCTGGGCCTTCTTGGAAAACATAGAGAATCCCAAGTCAAGCTTCGGGAACGGCAAGGGCCCATCAAACGGGTTCTTGACGTTGGGCACTGCCGGCTTTGGTTGAGCTTTCTTGGCCTTGCGAGACGCTTTAAGAGCAGCTTGCAAGTCCATCTCATCGTCGCTGCTGCTGGCATTGCTTTGCCTTCGTTTGGGCACGGCGGCGGTAGATCTGTTGTTGACTATGTGAGCAACCATTCGTCCGCTTGTGGCAGTGATGCGCTTGGGAGCTTCGACAGCCTTTTGCTTCCATTCGGGCATTTCGACGTCCTCGAATTGCTCCTCTTCTTCTAGGTCTTCGGCATTTTGCCCGTGCTGGGATTGCAAAGACATAGCAATGGCACGGTTGATGTCGTCTTCCTCCTCCGGGTGCAGCCGCTCTTCGCGTTTCTCGCCATTCAACCTCTCGTGTTGTTCAGGCAAGTCTCCACCGACAAAGAGAGTATCTTCTTCCTCAAACAGACCGTTGACTTCAGCTTCTCTTCGGCCGTCATAGAATTGCTGTCTCCTGAGTGCTGCATCCCTCGATGGGTGTGAGGCGGCCGTCGGCAACCGGTTGAGACCCTCAACAGGAACGTCTTCGAAGTCATCATCGTCATCGGATGCTTCGGCCTTCTCCTTTTTCTGAAATTGAAAGTCCAGAGCATCGACATCAATAGGCTTGTGAGCTTCACCCAGATCTTTCTCCTTGCTCACGACACCCAAAGCCCAACCGCCCTCTGCTCCTTCGTTCCTGACCAGGATGTATTCCCTATCCTTCTCGCCAGCGATACGCCCACCCCCATTGAGGGTAAGATCGAGGCCTGTCATGCCGGCTTCCTTCATGAGTCGCTGAGTGAGATTGTTTCTTTCTTGTACACGTTCAATCTGGAACCGAGAGAAGTCCATCCTGTTCGGGAACATTTCGTCCAGCTGCTCCTTACTGAGACCCATTCTCAGACGACTGCGTAGCCTTGCCGCATTCAAAATGTTGTATCTGTCCGCCGGCGGCAGACTCTTGAAAAACTCGCCGTCAAAGTCGATCTTGCTGAAGTCATAAAAGTTGATATCCTCGCCGTTGTGAAACTGCCTTGCATATTCCTCCAATTCCTCGATGCTCATGATCCTAGGATCATCCGCCTTCGCCATTGAAGCAATGTCGCCATCGAGTTCCGGCAGGTGGTACGCGTCTTGCTTGAAGAACTTCCTTCCACGCTGGCGTTCCTGCTGCGACATGCCCACCTCGTCAACGTACACAATCTTATCCACATCAGGAATCTCCTCCTGCGGCTCCTCGCGCTCCCGACGGATTCCCCTCTCAGCATCACGTCGCCTCTTGTCTTCCTCTTCCTCAGCAATCCTTTGCATCTGCACGGCAAGAAGCTTACCCGCCGTGCGGACAGCATCTTCCCTGCGCCCCTCACGCCGTCGCTTACGGCCCTGTATCGTCTGTCGCTTGAGAACAGGGGCACCGCCATCGAAGACGAAGACGGGCTTGATTCCGAACCAGAGCAGCTTGCAGATACGACGAAAGAAGCCGACAACGTGAGAGTTGCGCAGCGCATTGCCTTCCTTGTCGCGCACGGCTTTCAGGAATTGGTATATCCAGATGGAAGCATCGACAGCGAGTCGCTTGCGGTTGAGTGTTGCGAGGTTCGTCGGTCGCGCGCATGGCTGAACGACCGTCCAGAGGCCGTTCACACCCATGGCTGTGAAGGGGGTTGTCGGACGAGGGTAGGTTCGGTCTGTTCGGGATTCACGGGGGTGTTCGGCTCAGCGAGGTGCGAAAGGGCACGAGAAGCGGTCTTCTCATCCACCGAGTGAATATGGCATTGTCGTTGATAGGCGCAAAGTCCCGGTCTACTCAAGAAGAGGCAGCTCTCGAGTGTTGGATTGTAAAAGTGTTCTGAAGTTGTGACTCTGTGAAAGAGGTGGGAGGCCGTGGCTGCCTGCAGACAGCATTTGACATGGAGGAGCTCAGGTAATGACGCGCTTTCCTCCACTAGAGGCGTCGTTATCGGTTCTTATCTAGTGGCCCCGCAGTCGGAAGTACCACTGCGAGCAGACTTGGGAACCGCCTTGACGACCTAGCAAGCCTGGGTCGGCATGAATGACAACCTGCGAACCAATCTCTCTTCTTCTCACCATCTGACCTAGAGACTCAGCACGGAGGCTGGGAAAGGCGATGAATACAGTCGTTACTGCTTCGCTGCAATGGACAAAGAGGAGGCAAGAGACTTCTTGACCTCGCTTCTCAACAAGAACTTGCGCATCTTGGCCACTGATGGTCGCATGTTTCTGGGGATTTTCAAATGCACCGACCCTGTGAGCGACGCCCTCTGCTCATGCGTTCGAAAGTTTTCTGACCCTCTTGGCCATGTCTAGGACCGAAATGTCGTGTTAGCCCATACATACGAGTATCGCCAACCGTCAGCGCAGCAGCGGGCGGAGGCAGCGAAGAATGCCGCCGCAGGCACCGGGTCGGTCTCGATGGACATGACTTCCCGTTACCTGGGTTTGGTTGTAGTACCTGGCCAATACATTGCAAAGATCGAGGTGGAAGAGTTTTCTAGCCAGCTACGAGGACACAACCCATATGCCGACGCAGCAGTTGTCTAGGGCCCTGCACATTAGAAGACGGCAGGTCAAGGGATAAGAAGTGACGACTAAAGATAATAATGCCGATAATGATAAACTACGCAATTATTGGACATTACAACTAGGAGAACCAATGTTTTTGCCTTGATTACCTTTCCTTCCACGTTCGCCGTAGCAAACCTATCATAACCTCAATTCGTTACCGAGGCACCAAACCCCTAACACCAGAACCAAGCGCTGTCCATGAACGTGGAAGGAATATTATCGCGACCATGAGCTACATGCTCGCTGCCTTCAAAACGAATATGATTGAGAGAATCCGGGCGAAATCGGCATGACAAGATGCTGCATCTATGCGACAACGCTCTCGTGCTGGCGTCCTCGGGTTTCACCGTTCAACCCGTCATCAGTTCCAGCAACGGAATGGTGGATATCATCCTCATCGTCTTCCTCATCATCGTAGTCCGTCTCCTTGTTATGGGCGGGCATCCAAGAGGAGTCGTCGTTCAAAGGGGCATCTTGTCCAGACAGATCATGGCCTCCCTCAGCGCGTGCCTTGATGTTGTTTCTACGACGAGTTGACAGAGTGCGAGCGCGAGTTGACAGCTTTGAGGACACAGCGGCGTTGGAGGTCACCCAGTTGGTGAGGGCATCCTCGCAGTCCTGGATAATGGCCTTGCTGGCCTCGTAACCATCATATGCAGCACGGGTCTCGCCAGGGGTGACGGGGGTATCATCGATGAGCTCCAAGAGGTGCTTTCCGTAGCCGGCGATAATCGCCACCTTCTCGCAATGCTCTCTTAGAGCATCAAATTGATAGGTGTAGGCGGCTTTGATCTTCTCGCGCGTGATGTTTGACAGTTGAGCCTCAGCGACCAGTGACTCCGCCTCAGCTCTCACAAGTTCCTGTTCGAGAACGACAATCTTTGGCGAGTTGGGCTCCTTGTACTTGAGCTGAGCGATCTGATCGGTAATCTTCTGTTTGCCTGTGAACGCTGTCAGAATAGGCATGGCATGGGAGGCTTCGATTGTTTCTTACGGTCTCGGCTTGGCTGGACTGAAGCCTCAATGTTGCGAATGCTCTTGATGGTGACGCGGTATTGGTCATATCGATCGACGTATTGGTCCTCAAGCTCTCCAATTTCGTAGAGCAGGACGCCGAGCTTGTCGGTGACATCGGAAACATCTTCGTCACATGCCTCTCCCCAGATGGAAAGTTGTTGCTGAGAGGTAAAAATTAGTATACACATTTCGGAATGCCCTCGGTGCGGGTTGACCTACTGCGACCTCCATACGCTCTCTCGCGACTGTCTCGAGGCTGCGCATAACATTCTTCTCCATCTTCACCAGCTGAGACAGCTTTTTAGCAAGGTCTGGCCCGAAGGCACCGGCAGACTTGTGACGAAGGGCATGACCTGATGTGAACTGTCAGTCGCCGTAAAGATGACAGTGGCCGCATTTCGAACGATAGACAGGACGGCGCAAGCCTTGGAGGGTGCTACATACCGAAGCCACCGCGGAAGAGGCGGCCAGACTTAGTGGTTGACGGCGGCGGGGGCGGGTTCTGCAACAAGAGTCAGCATCTATCTTTTGTTCTTGGCGACGATTGGTGAGAAGACAGGCTCGCGGTGTTCGTACCTGGAGTTGAGAGGCCGTGGGCGCCCTCGTTTGGCGCATAGAATAGGTGCGGTGCATGATGGCAGTGGTGTCAACGACGACAATGTCAGTTAGGTTATCAACGTGTGTACTGTCGCAATAATCAATCAGGCGACAGAGTGCGTGTCAATATGCCAGTCAAGGGAGGAGGGCGGTTCGCAAAGAGGGTATCGCGGGGTGGAACAAGGGACTTGTAGAGGATCGAATGACGGTCGAGGCGTCCGGACTGGGATGATGCGGACTCGAGTGTTTATATGTATGCGCCGGAAAGGGTCCAGAAGACATGCGTGGATGTTGCGGAGGAGACGGGACTCGAAGTGGGCGGCCTGTTGGGCTGGACATGCATGGGTAGTAGAAAGGTCAGGCAGGTGAAGCGGCAGCACCCAGCACCTCTCAGCGCAGTCCCCCAGGCCCCCCTCTGTGCCTCATTCGCCCTGGCGACGTCATCTGTTTCTTTAGCTCGTGTTTTTGGCGTTGTTCGCAGCGTCACCCAGCTAACCACCCACCCAGGTGCCTGCATCAATAACTTACGCGGGTACAAGCCGGAAGCCCCACATTCTAGGTACCTTGTGGCGCCATCTTGAGCTGAATCCGTCGCAAAGTCACCCTTGAAAGCTACAACCCCGGAAGCTCTGGCCAGTGTCACTCCTCATCTCTTCGACCTCGACCTACCATGATCAAAAGGAGGCTACGGTTATGCAATGAGGAGGCAGGCCTCACACAGCCAGGACGATCGCCATCCGGGATGGCGCCGGCTCTTCGAGACCCTTCGCCCAATGTGGGCTCATGAAACAGACGGCCGGGACTCTTGGGGCCGACTTGGGACGAAGAAACAGGAGGAACCAGCAAGCTTCGATGCAAGCTGCAAGAAAACCCCATCACCCCACGCCTTTATGTTCCCTTCCGCAGCTGCAGGTCCAGACGGAACTGGGCTCTGGGATGATGGAGAGAGTGGGCGATTGGTTTATGATATAGCCTCCTACGTTGTCCGTCAAAAATTCAGGGTTGTCACTCCTTCATTATCTTCCTTCGCAAACTGGTGGGCGAAGGATCTTTAATTTGCCAGCGGATGACATATCTGCATTCCTAGCCACCGGCCTCTCAATTTAGGTCAGTATTCGAATCGAACCTGCCCATCTTTGATGCCAAGGAACAGGACCGTATTTTTCTTCTCTAGCGCTGGATACATATTCGTACTGTCGAGCGCATATCGGCATGTCCAGATTCTTTGAAGCTAAGGGTCGTCTACTAGTCCCAGAAGATGAGCGATGATTTCATAGACTGCCTCTATCTGTCAACTCGCCAACTAGCGCAATCTGTGCCCTGCGTCCTGGCGGAACACTTGATTAGTCCAAACAGCGGCCGCCAGAGTGTCGGTGCAGCCGGCTGTCGGATTAAGCACGGTAGGCTCTGCCAATTGACTTTCTGCTCGTTGCTTTGCGGGCATCTCCAGACACTCCCTCATGTTACTTGCTGCATATAATGTCGACTATGGCCATGTCCTTGACGCAACACCACTGTTGACTTGCTACATTCTCGTTAGAACGTCGACTGTAGACATCTAATTCAAGGCTTACGAGGATTTTTTTTTTTTTTTGGCAATGTCGGGGTGTGATGCATAGCTGGACGTATTGAATCAAGAGACTTTCTCTAGTACCTGGGCCGCTCAACTCCAGACGGCCATGCAACCCTAACCCTGGCCCTGGCCGAGTCACGTCGACCGCTACTGCGCTGAGTTGAGCTTAAATGACTGTTATACTATTTTTTTTTCCCCCGAGGAACTCGAACATCTGGCAACGTTCAACGCAAGGCAATGGAATATGGCCGCCTTGGCTGAAAGTCCCTTGCGAAAATTTGTGATGCGCGCTGGATTGCGTTTGTAGCGTCCAAAGCGAGACTTGCCTCATTTTGGGGTACAAAGTCCGAGCGCAAGCCAAATGTCGAGTTTCCTTGCCCTGGCTTATTGTTTGCCATTCTCTCTTGGGAAGAAGTGTGGTGGGAGACATATGGCAGCGTGGTATCCTCAAAGACGCCTGAATATAAAACAAGGAGACGCCGGCCGGGAGAGTATTCCGTAAGGAGACAGCACCGAATAAATCGAATGGATAGAAAGACATTGTTCTCAGAGTGCGCTCCATCATGACAAAGCCCAAAGTGTAACATGAATCAATTGCAAGCCCGCCACCACCACCCGCTAAAACGAGAGAGAGAGAGGGGGGCAAAAAAAATGTACTGCAGAAAATAGCCATAGAAGGCATGATGTCTTTGTGCATCTCTTGTGTGTTTACCCAGACTGCCTGAAATGCATCGGAACCAACGGGCAACTGATACACTGGGCCGTGAGGTGCTTGGTGGGTTATTGTGGATAGGTGCGTTGGTTGCCTGAGTCCTGAGTGCAGTTCCTGAAGCGCAGCCCCTGCTCCCCCGGTCTCGTTTGGGACTAGCGCATTGCAATCTCTCCCTCGATGTCCTTCCGCCCATGAACGCGCTTAGCCTCGCAATTCACCAACGCGTCTCACATATCTCATCTCTTCTCTCATCATCAACCTCATCCAAGAGAGCGTGCTTAAGCGGGAAAGTGACCCATTCGCCATCTCGACTGTTGCGTCGCATTTTTTTTTCGACTGCGCAACGTCACCGGGCGCTTCTTCCTGGCCGCCTGGCATGAGACTTCCGTAGTCAATGTTTACAGGCTTTGCTGACGCTGATCTCGGGGAAGAGGACATGAGCAGCGACCGTGTCTGTGTTTGCGCCTGCAGCAAGTGAGGAGGCTCGAGGCCAGAACCGCCGCCAGACAAGCTCCCGACAGAAAGCCACCGCCTTTGCGCCTTCTTCCTGTCGCTTTTCGCCTCGTCATTTACCGTCATGTCCTTCTTTGCTGGGTCCGATCGGGACGCAGCTGCTCAAAGAGGTCCCTACGTCGACGAGTGCGCCAAGTTCCACCTGAACCAAGAACACGATCCTTCAAACCATCACCCTCACCACCACCACCACCACTCTCATTCTCAACACGATCAACGCGCCTACCAGAAGCCCCCGCTCCGTCAAAGCTCGGGAAACGCTTCTAACAACTTCATCGACCTGACAGGCGACAGCGACAGTCCTCCCATCTCCCCTCGCCCTAAGCACTTTCCTCATCTTGATGCCGATCGCGCGACCCCCTCCAGCTGGAAATCCAAGCCTGAGACCAGCCAACCCCCCAGTTCAGCGTCGCGTATCCCACTAGGTCTAGGTCCTGCCCATAACAGTAGTGTCCTCTCCGACCCAAGCGGCGCCTCAACCGCTGTTTCCAGCAATGCAGCCTCGGTCTTGGATCCTTCGCCGCCGCCTGTCTCAATCCAAACGTCAGTCGATCTCGACGACAGTTACGATGCCGAGATGCCACGACTCGCGCGACCAGACGCTCCTCTAGAGACTGCCCAGCAAGTCACTCCGCCATCTTCTACCCGCCTTTCGAGCAACCAGTCTCCCAAGGTTGCTAAGCATGTCTCCAACTCCAAGAAACAGACCCCGAACAAGGGCATCTCCGACTTCAATCACATCACCTCGTCACTCACTAAGTACTCTCATGATATCCGCAAAAATCATGTAGAAATGGTTCTCTACGCACTCAAATCTACCAAGCCCAGGGAAACACGTGTTTCTACCGGTCACGATTGGTTCGCTGACGTCGGCATCTCACCTACGACTGAGGAGAAGGGAACGACCATGAAGATTCGGGTCAAGGTAAGTACACATCGATGGCGAGACGTCTGTCTTCATCATTCTGCCGCATCTCAACATCCAAAGTATGGATATGAATGCTGACTTCGCCTCAGCAACACTTTCGCGGGAGAAAAGCGGATCAGGGCCGAGATGCTCATTACCTGCCAGTTTGCGTCAAGTCAACCAAGGACGCCGTGCCTAAGTACCGATTTCATCACACGGAAATCGTCAAAAACGTCCTTTCTCCCAACTCCATGCTCAAATTTGTCCCTGTCATCCGCGATCTGGAACCGGAAGAGGAGCGAGACTACCTTCTATGGCTGAACGAGCTTGAGAGGATGGATGCAAGCTGCGGGTTCAAGACGTTAGGCAATCGCGAAGACCGAGTCAACAGGACTTTTCGCAAAGAGCGCACCGCCACCCTGTCACTGTTCCTGGATTCTTGGCTCAAGAAGCTCAACATCGACAATTGTAACCGGACGACACTCATCCGTCATATGGCTAGTTCAGAGTCTGATGACGCCATCACGCCGCAACAAAAAACGAGTCTGGTCAATCTGCACAGCGATGACAATTTAGCCGCCACACCGAGAGCTTTGAAGGCAGCAAGAGTTTTCACTGAGGCTTTCGATTACGTTTTCTATCAAGAGGTGCCAAAAGACCGGGGAGTTCTGTTGCGCGACGTGCTGAAGCTCGATAAGTCTGTTGACGAGATTGTCGAGTCCAAGAAGGCGGCTAAAGGCGACAATGAGAAAGCTTCATCTCTTGAGCACTGGATCGAAACCCATACAGTCATGGGTTGTCTCATCTGTTACAGCAACTCTTGCGAACATGGAGACTACAGCATTGAGAATCACAAGCGCAACTTCTCCATGGATTGCATCGGGATGTACGGACGGATGTTCTCGGCGAACCGCGTTATCTCCTCTAAAGAAGACACCGAACATTCGGATCCCCCGCCCCCATGTCAGCGGGGATGCTTCCAGATCAACATCAATACTCCTGATGCATCTTCGCGGCCTTGGACGGAAGACGAGACGAACTTGCTGCGAAGCCTGTTCACAATCTTGGATCACAACAAGGTCAGGGTCAAGGCTCAGTGCGCGACTGCTGAGATTCTGAACAGGTCCTGCTGGGACGTCAACCACCATTTACAATCTCTGGGCATTACTCTTCCCCCCTTGGAGACCTTTGAACCGGCAAGGGTCAAAAATCTTCCCTGGTATGATCGGAAGAAGAAGATGCTCATCGGCGACTGGCAAGATCACACAAATTCCCACGACACCAAGGTTCGCCCTTCGAACGACCCATGCCACCACGACGGGCCCTGCACT